TTGTCGGAGTAGCTAGCCCGACGTTCCGCTTCTTGCCAGCGGCGAGGCTCTGTAAATAGCTTTTGTTTAGTATTGTTTTAAACTAATCTCTTCAAATCTAAGGTTCGGCTCGACCGATTTTGTTTTCCGACTATGTTGGGATTTTCGGTTGCTTTTGTTTATCCATCCTCTTGTTCGATCTACGCATAATCCGGTGTTTCTTGGGTCTAATCCTTCCCACCCTTAGAGAATAAGACTTTGTCTCCAAAAGTTGGGCTTTATGTGGTTTGGATGAAGCATCTCTTTTGGGATTGAAATTTGTGAGATCAGAATTTTCGAGAAGGTTTAGAAGCAAAATTAGTTCGGCGTGTTATAGCCTAGGTTTTGTCTTCCTTTTGGGGTTTTCGGGTCATATTAGCTCCGGTGGTTGTGGTTAAGATCTATCCGTACCGTCAGAGGTTTGGATTTAATAGGGTGATTGATGTTGTTGCATCAAATTGAAGCTAGAGCTTTGTGTTATGAAGCTTAGCGAGGTTCCGGCCGTGGAGGTCCGACAGAGATGCTTCTGGGTACAACAACTAGACGATTCAAGGAGCTACACTCTCTTCGTCTTCTGACGATTCAACCTCGACACATAAACGTATTTTTAAAGTTAATAATACGGATATTTAAAAAATAACTGGCCAACAAAAAATCTAGGTACCCGTATTTATAGTTGGCGGACAAAAAAAAAAAAAAAGCTCGCGACATAAAATCTAGGTATCCGCATTTTTAAAGTTAATAATACAATCTTATTTCCAAATCATTAAAAGAAAAAAAAAAGAGATCGGTTGGTCTTTTAAAATTTAACCAACAAACTCTACCTATATCAAAATACTAATACCCATTATGTTTGTATCTATGTTGCTTCTCCTTTACTTTGCAATGAATTTCCATATTTTGATAAACTAAATATCGGTTTTATAGCCTTTGTTTTATAACAATCTATATATTAATTTAGATAGAGGCGAATAGGTTACTTTCGAGAGATAACTATTCCAAAACTAAATGACTTACATTATAAAAAAAAAACTTTGTCGTTAAAGGAAGTCGGTGTACTTCCTTTGCAAAGAAGTCGGTGTACTTCCTTTGCAAAGAAGTCAGTGTGGACATTTTTACGTTGAGAGACAACTAACTCAAAAAAAGAGAAATTAGATCTAAGAAAACTAAAATTATTTTACTCTAGTTAAAAGCTTGGTCAATAAGCTTATTCCTCATTTTTTCTAGATCCGAACAATTGGTTTCAAAGATCACTGATGATTCAACATGTAGAAACGAAATACTTTAAGTTGGCAACCACAATTAACAAATCAAGGATATCCCTATAATCAACCAACGCAAAATCGATGAGAAAGCACCATATAGGATCTTCGACCTCTTTTTTAAATTTTTAATAGTATTGGTCATGAGATTAGGATGTCAATGCATGTAAATAAAAATATAAATGGTTTAAGAAGAAAATACAATTTAACAAATTATTGATGATGATACAAATATAATAAATTGGTAAATAAATTTTAAAAAAAAAACACAATCGACAGGAGAAATAAAAAAATAAATAATATAATTCTATTTGGATTTGGGAGCTAATGAACAATCAGGGGGATCATCTGAATTCAAAATCTCTCTAACAACAAGATTCCTTGCCCGATTAATAGTCATAAAACACAAGTAGATATGTTCTTCAAGCTCATCAAGCTCTTCACTAAAGCTTTCTTCACATCTTTTCAACTCTCGAGCCACTTCTTCACCGGCTCGAACCAAACCTGATCCTCTCCCAACCCAAAACTCAGCCATGGCTCGTACGTGCTCCACTTCATCGTCAATCCGAGTCACTAATCGGCTTATCGTGTCCAAATCACGGCTTAAAATGTACGTCCCTTTCGCAGCCACATCGAGCTGAGCCGCATTCCTCATCAGCTTATTCCTTAAACCGATCGGTTTGAATCGACCGGTTAAAAGAGTTGGACCGGCTATAAACAAAGCAAAGGTGTGAGAAGCTATGGTTACAATCAATGTAGTGGCTAGAGCCAAAACAAGAATCCCTGAGCTATGAGTTAGTCCTTTGATGAGTTTTAGCTTGGCTCGTGTCTTGTCTCGGCTCGACTCTAGCCGTTTGAGCAGGTTTAAACAGTCGGATCTGGTTAACTGGATCCGAGAACCCGACGAGGTAAACGGTTCGAACCATCTTGATAGCTCCGTGAATTGATCCACTAAAGCCAACGAATCATTATACTCCGATTGAAATTTAGGTTTTAAAGATTCGTATTTAGAACGAAGGCGATGAATATTTTTGAGTAGTAGCGTGCAAAGCAAGAAAGCGTTTGCCGTTTCTAAGAAGTAATCAGAGAGAAGAATTCTGGTGGATCGTCCGACCCGGGATAGATCTAGGATCCGGGTGATGGTGCTCGAGTCAGGGTCTAGGAGATTATGTGCGAAGAGACGGTACGACATGAGACGAGCTGACGTGGAGGATGATTCAATTGGTGAAGAAGAAGGCACGGTAGATTTTTTGTGGCGTAGGCACATAACACGTGTCCAAAATTGATTGTATGATTCTGTACGGAAGGTGTTTGCATATTCTTCGAGAACATCCACGTCATCACCAATTTTGGGACTTGAAGTCCCGGATGCTGTTTTGATTTTCGAAGAAAATTGGATTTTATATTATTAATTTTTTGGTTACAAATTAAATACGTAGTTTCATGATTAAAGAAAAGAAAATAGGAATTTAACCTGTGGATGCGAGAATCCTTTTGATCTTTGATGAAACTTTTATGCCCATCCCTCGAGATCTTGAATAAAGCAAAATATGTTTTGTCTGTTGAGTAGAGAGATTTTTCGTTCAAAATGTTGGGAGAAGGAAATGAGAACGACAAGAATGTACCACCTTATTATATAGTTCTTCGTGTGATATAATGAAAATGAAATAAAGAAGTATTTATTTTGCTTGGTAGGAAAAGAGATATCTAAGGATTTTGTTGGGAAATTGTTACTTTTCTAAGTACTTGTAGTGGGAGTGAAGAAATATCGAGAAAATAAATGAGTGGATGCTTGCACGTAATACAAAATAAGACCTGCAAGTGAGAAAAAAAAATTATCAACAATGTGTTAATATCTATCCGTAGGCTTTTTTTATGGAAAGTCTTTACACAAACTCATACGTTCATGTTTGCCAAATTTGGTTGGTATGGTAGAGACTAGAGAGTTCATCCAATTAGGTTTCTAATTAATCATTTAGTTTTTAAAATTAAACAAAAATGAAACCAATTCTTGTTTGACTGATAATTGCACACCCCCTACCATGTAACATTAACATGTTGGAGAAAAGCAATCAGGATTTAGTGAATAATTCGATTCATATAATGAGTTGATCATTGTGTTTGAACATCAATGCACCTTTTGAAATAGCAAGGACAAATTGTCGGAACAAAACATACAAAATATGTGTCCCTGACTCACAAACCACGAAGCTCAAGTTTGAGTTTCCAAGATTCGAGTCGTAACAGAGGAATGTGTTGGTACAATAAAAACTAAGGGATCGGACCAGAAAGAACAAGTTATTTTCCGGTGATTCTTCTAAACCCGGTATAAGTAGATGAACCAATGAAAATGAAGACAGGCACGGAAAGAAGATATTGTACGCGTTTTCGGATTTAACGTTTGACCCATTGGAAGCTCTTTCTTGCCTTGGCTTTTCCAGGTTTCTTCCTTTCCACAACTCGAGAGTCTCTTGTCAAGAAACCGGCTGAAACATATCGAAGACAAAAAAAATATAGCTATCAAGACCAATCAATCTAACAGATATACTGGCTATCAAATGGAAACATCGATCAGACAAATATGTGTATCTCTGTTGAAGAACATTATAAGGACCACAGAGATATTTTAACGCTGAGATGCAGGTAGTATCTTGCTTACCATTTCGGAGTGATGTTCGCATATCTGGTTCCCAGTTTTGCAATGCCCTGCTGATACCCAATTGAATAGCTCCTACTTGACCTTTAAACCAAACATTTTGTGCACGCTTAACCACAATTAGTAAGGGGTCTAAATGCTGTTAATCTGTTCATTTATGACCAAATCCTCTAGCGTATAAATCACACTTGCTAGAGTAAATAGAGAATTCAAGCTTTTAGTGACTATAACAAAAGAATATGAGGTGATTGTTGAGGGGTTTTACCTGTAGTACCACCGCCTTTAACAGTGCACTTAATATCCCAACTACCTAAGGTTTTGGTTTCAGCAAGCGGGCGCAGAAGAGCAGCGCGATGATCAAGCATAGGGAAATAGACATCAAATTCTTTTTCGTTAACAAGGAACTTCCCTTTCCCAGGCGCAATCCAAACACGGGCAATACTGCATTTTCTTCTTCCGGTTCCATAGGCTCTACCTGTTTCATCCACGTGTCTCACGCGCGATTTGGCAATTTCCTCTTGCATCTGGAGTTCTATCTCAGCTCTTGAGGACTTCTTTGAACTCTTTTCACGCCGCATGTTTTCAATCTCAGTCAGAGGAGGCAATCCTTCAACCCCTTGGAAATCCTTCAAGGCTATCAAACTATCTAGCAGTTCATCTGTTATACCCGACTTAGCAATAAGGTCTCCAAATGCTCGATCAGGACCTGCAATAGTAAGTTCTGAATCAGTAAAACTTCGAAACATACTCTACTTTTGGTTCCTCGCTTACTAACAGCGGAATCAAATATCCCCCCGTTTGATCACAATAGCGAATTCATCAATTCATCCAGCTGAACATTGTCTATAGCAACGCGTTAGCGATACACAAATAACAGAAACCACACATGAAGCACCAAATTGTTCCGCACTTCAAAAACAACTATTTCTAACCAAATGCCCAGGTCGCTTAAGCATCCATGCTTACTTCAAAAATCAGCAAACCGAACATGTCTATCAAGAGATTGATTACACAACCTTGCTACTCGAATGACCTTAACAAGGTAAAGTCATGTGATCAAATTTTCTATGATAAGCTCCTCATTTTACACACATTTCCAAAGTTAAAGCAAAACTTTAGAACCAGCTAACAAATTCAGGAATCTCACCTTTGATAATCTCAGTGAGCTCTTTCTCCTCTTTCTCAATAGCCTCCTTCTTCGCACGCTCTTCCTCCGCGTTTTCCAAGCTGCCTTCAAAGCTAAGAGGCATCTCGCCGCCCAGATCAAACACAACATTCTCATCTTCCTCCTTCAAATTCCATGGCTTAGGCTCTTCCCATCCATTAGATTTCACCTCTCCGTTTGTTCCAAAACCATTCGTACCGAACACGACTTCATCTTCTCCCTCCTTCATATTCCATCGCTTAGTCTCCTCCCAGCCATTGGGTCTCCTCTCACGTCCGGTTTCAATCCCTTCCGCCACCTCTCCGCCGGTATCGAACACAGACTTATCCTCTACCTCTTTCAAATTCCATCGCTTAGGCTCCTCCGGCCATTTACCTTCTCCACCAGCTGAACCGGATCCTGCAACTCCGGAGGAAGCCCAAGGATCTTCGGAAGAGAAAGGATTGGACTTGTCGTCGTTTACTCCAGAAAAATTCCACGGAACGTCACTCCGATTACCCCCATTTCCGTTGTCATTTCCGCCGCCGCTACTGTTAGTGGAAAGCGGTCGGATAAACGAGGAGAAGATCTGAGAGTTGTTCAATTTGGATGAAGCTAGGGTTACGAGACGGAGATTCGAAGGTCTAAGGAATAAACGAGAGAGCATGATGGTGAACAAC